AGCTTATGATTAAAATTTTCTTTCATTCAGGATTGAAGGCAGACTCACCTGGCATTTTCAGACTTGTCATTCTGAAGATCCCTAGTAGCTCAGAGGTAGTTAATAAGCAATTTCCAAAAGTGACTAGAAAGTGAGGTTTGTGAACTTAGTGTACTTTAAAAGTCTTTGCCACGGTCGTGAGCAAGATGGCTAATCCCATTGTCTCTCAGCGCAGAAAATCACTGTCCTGCAGTCTCCTCGTGAGGAGCAGCCACTGAGAGCACATGTGGGCAATCTCCCATCCTCTCCTTATCAGGAGACGTCCCAAGGAACCAGTCTATTCACCGGTTCTTTGGTCTTTGCTGCGGTTGTTGGCCCCGCTTTCGCAGAGCCATCTTCAGTTTGCCATACTTCCCCTGGAATGTGGAATGCCCCGAACGCTTCCTGTTCTGATTCATATTCTTCTTCCCATTCTTTCCACTTGCCAATTACGTTTAGCTGCCAAACCAGCCATTTTGTGCCTGATAGTATCATAACATTTTCACTGGTACTACTGTGAGTGTAGATAGGTTACTGGGACCCTGTTCTGAAAGTGCTGTGCTTCAGCTAGGTCTGCATCCAATATAATTGTATCCTGGCATTTAGTTATGCAACTATCTTGTTTTAATTTTTTAAATGATGTGATCTAAAAGGCATATTTGCATGCCACAGTAAGCCTGAGGAACAGGATCATCCATAATATAACTTTGCAGTGACTTATGTTACACTTTTCCATGTTTAGCAGAAGAAGTCAATTGTACATTTTGCTGTGCATGGTTCATGTACAACATAGTACATACGTAGCAGCTGTGAATATAACTAGATACTGAATTTCATTCCCTTCTTCCTTTCTTCTGGAGCTGTGAAAGCCATTTCATTTTAGTTTGGCATAGCAGTGTACGCCTGAAACACAAATGCCTGCTATGTCATGAAGATGTTTCTATTATTTGCAAGAGCCTCTCATCCCTTGAATCACTCTCAACCTCTCTTATCTCATGTTTGCCAGCATTCTTACTGTGAGCTAGCGTAGGTGGTGCCCAATGAGCAGCCATTAAGACTGCCAACTGAAAGACATTATGCTGTTTTATCTTTCCCTTCTTAACTGATTTATATATGTGTCGGTAAAAAGATTTTTTAAAAGGTGGGAAAAATGGGAGAATGACAAACAAAGGCATAATCTGCCTTCTCAATATTCAGTATTTGTTCTGCATTCATTATGGTTACTGAGGTGACATCAGCATTAGTTATCTTATTATCGAGTCTTTAGTTATGAATGAAGGCATTATATTGAGAAAAGCAAGAAAGTTTGGACCTTTGACTTTAGCCTATGTTTCAGCACCAGAAATTTTATGTCAGGAAATGCCAAGGAAGAGGTTGGTGAAATGAATGGACTGTTAAAAACTACACAGATAGAACATTAAGTCTTCAGAATAAATGTGTGGCTTCTATTCCTAAGATTATAATATTGAAATTATTGTGATTATTTATTTATGCATTTATATGGCTACCCAACTCAGGCTATGTGACTCTGGGCAGTGTACGAAGACAACTCCTCCCCCTCCAATAATTAATACAAAATAACATAGCTCATTAAAACATACTAAACAATAGAACGGCAAACAGAAACTGAAAACTTCTACAACTCATCTACTGGGGACTCAGTTCAACCTGATCCCAAAACCTGGGGGAAGGGCCAGGTCTTAACCACCTTCCTAAAGACCTGTAGGGTTGAGGCCAACTGTACATCTGGGAGAAGATTGTTCCAAAGGGCAGAGCTTGCCACAGAAAAGGCACATTTCTTGGGTCTCATGAGATGACATTGATCCAGAATGTGCTTTCCCTGTCAGAATGTGTGGGATGGTCCCACAGATAACCCATTCCTATGCCATGTAGGGCTTTATAGGTGATAACCAGCACCTTGAGTTGCACCTGGAAGCCTACTGGGAGCCAGTGCAGCTTATAGGATAGAGGTGTTATGTGGGCATAATGAGAGTCTTACTGAATTGCTGCATTCTCGACCAACTGAAGCTTCTGAATGGTCTTCAAGGGCAGTCCCTCTGTAGTTGTTGTTGTTTAGTCGTTAAGTCGTGTCCGAC